ATTTATATAAATATATTATAAATATTATAAATATATATAATATATATGGGTCATGCAGGGCCGTGCCAAGTGGGGCCGCGGCCTGGGCCGTGCCGACATGCGGGTCGTGGGCAGCATAGCCCATGGACCTAAAACCCTAGGCCCAGCACGGCCCACATGATCATGTCGGGTCTGGCACGGCTCGCATGCTATCGTGCCTGGTCGTGCCAGGCCAGTCCAAAGTCGCTCTGGGGCAAGGCCCGATTTACACCTCTAGTTGTTGGTATTTCCTTCAAGAGGACTTCTTGCAACTATACAAAGACTTCTAGGAAACCAAAAGCTTAGACAGAAGAATAAATACAACATTTAGAACTCTAATACAAAAAAAGAGTGGTGTAGTGAATATAAAAGATTTTAGGCCAACAAGTTTAATAAGCAGCCCGTACAAGCTCTTGGCAAAAGTATTGGCAAATAGACTGAAGAGAGTGATCCAGGAGGTGGTGGGGGAAACTCGGATGGCCTTTGTAGAAGGAAGGCAGATCCTAGATGGGATTTCGGTGGCTAGTGAATGCATAATTCGAGGATTAGAAGTGGAAAACCAGGTTTGGTATGTAAGTTGGACATAGAGAAAGCGTATGACCATGTAGAATGGGAACTTTTAGAGGAAATGATGAGGTTGATGGGGTTTAGGGAGATTTGGAGGGGCTGGATGTATGGGTGTATTTCATCCATGTCCTTTTCTTTGCTCATCAATGGGATATCCTCCGAGTTCTTCCAAGCCTCTAGGGGTCTTAGACAAGGGGATCCAATTTCCCCATTGTTGTTTGTGTTAGTGATGGAGACTTGTAGAGAAGATGGGCCGAATGGCCCATAGACTGTTTTCTTATTTCTTTTCTTTATGTTCTTTGTTGTAATGGGCCTCAACATGGGCCTTACTTATGTCTTTTTTAAATTATTCGCCCAGTTAAGGGCCTCTCTGTAATTACTAAAATTAAGTTAATGAAAAGGAATTAGGGTGTAAGAGAGGATTAGAATTCGAAAATCTCTCTCTGAACCCTTATTGCCACCACCTTCTTCCTCTTCTCTCTTCTTGATCCTCTGTTTATGCTGTTCTCTATCACTTTTCTGCACCTTTTTAAACAATTTTTTTATTTCAGAGCAGGCTCTCCTTTTCTCTTTTTTCTCCTCTTTCTTCCCATACACAGTGTGTATGGAGAACTGAATCGAATGAATAGTTAAAGAAAATTTTTCCAGCCCAGTTGTTAGTGGTTTTTGGAGAGAAGGAGGCTATCCTTGTCGTCACTTTGACAGTATCAAGTGTGTTGCCCGAAACCCTAATTAACTAGAGAAATCTGCTTGCAGGCCCCACAGGGAATTTGACTATGGCACTCAATGATTGAAAGATTTTGAAGATTGATTAAGTTGCTCAGTATTCTGTGAAGTCTACAAGGTGAGGCTAGGTTTTTTTTGTTTCTCTCGGGTTCTAGGTGTGACGCAATTAACAAGTACGGCTGCATAGAGGTTGATTCACAACACGTATTTTTTCCTGTCTTCATTGATTGTTAATTGAAGTTGTTAGAAGTTATTTTTGGAGTGTTTTAAGAAGATGGATCCTTCAAAAGTTGAAAACAAACATGTTGCTAAATCCAGACAGGTTTCGGGGGCCTCTATTGACTCTCTGTTGGCTGTGACCATAGTCAAGCTAGATAGAACCAATTATCTGGCATGGTCACAATCAGTAAAATTCATGTCTGCAGTAGAGGCAAGTGGGGGTATATCTCTAGGAGCAAGAAGGCTCCCTCGAAAGATGATCCATCCTATGAAAAATGGATGCAAGAAAATTACACTGTAATCGGATGATTAGTAAATTCAATGCAACCTCATATCAGTCAACACTATTTATGGATGAATTCAGCAAAGAAAATATGGGACAGTGAAACCTATTCTCAGAAACTGAATGTAGCCAGAGCATATAAGTTAAGGAGTGATGTGAAAAATTTAAGGTAGGGAGAGAAACCTTTGGCTGTTTATTTCTCAATGCTGGAATCTCTTTGGCAAGAAATTGACTTGATGGAAATTGTTGCCTGGGAAAGTACTAATGATGCTAAAACTCACAGAAAACTAGTTGAGAGAAACAAGGTGTTTGAATTCTTCACAAGGCTGAATCCCGAGTATGACATCACAAAATAGAACATCTTATCCAAGGATAGTGTTTCGTTGTCTCAGGCCTATGCCTTGGTGAGTAGTGAAGAAAGCATGAGACTAGTCCAGGTTCAAGGGGCTGGTCTAAATGACCACTTTGCTAACATGGGGCTAAAACCTAAGGGAACTACAGGAAGTCCAGGTGGTTCAGGTAGGAAGGAAGATATTTGTGAGTACTGTATGAAACCAAAGCATACAAAAGACAAGTGTTGGAAACTGCATCCGGAGCTTCTTCCCCTTCATTTCCAAAAGAAAACTGATAATATGAAGATAGGAAGTGCCAATATTGCTACTGGTCCAGATAATGACATATGACTAACCGAAGAGAGGACTGCTAGTGAACAGTTAGCAGTTATGAAAGCAGAGTATGAGAAGTATGGAAGGATGATCAGTCACCTAGAGGGTGCTACCACTTCTTCCAACCCTCCAGAAAATTCAAATTCTTTTGCATTTGCTCATTCAGGTATATGGGCTTCTGCCAATCATGCAACTATATCAGGTAATCGTAGGATCCCTTGAATTATTGATTCTAGTGCTTTTAACCATATGACCAGCCTTTCCACCTTGTTTATTTCTTATGATTTGCTTCCTAGCCGTGTTAAAATCACCATAGCCGATGGCTCTCTTGCTCCTATCTCTAGCAAGGGAACCATTAAGGCTACAGACTCTCTGTTACTTCCTTCTGCTCTGGATGTGCCCAAACTAAATACAAATTTGTTATCTGTAAGCAGTCTAATTAAGTCTTTGAATTGCAGTGTAAACTTTTTTTTCCTCCCTACTATGTTTTTCAGGATATGGAGTCTCAAAAAGTGATTGGGAGTGGCCATGAGGCGAATGGAATATATCTATTGGAAACTCCTGGACAGAGCCAAAGACAACCTGGGAAAGTTGCCTTTGGATCTACATCTTCAGAGTTTGTTAGTCGTGTCATGTTATGTCATTTTCGTTTGGATCATTTTTCTTTTACTACATTAAATCATTTATTCCCAGAACTATTTAAGAGGATTAATTTGTCCAGTCTTCATTGTGAGTCTTGTGAGTTGTCAAAGAGACTTCCTATGGGAAGGAGTAGGGGGAGTTAAAAAATTCCACTTAGTCAAGTGGGAAAAGGTATGCAAACCAAAGGAGGGGACTTTGGGGCTGAGAAGGGTAAATCTGATAAACAAAGCACTTATAGGGAAGTGGTTGTGGAGGTTTGGGCAAGGGAGAGAAAGAGGGAGGCTTTGTGGAGAAGGGTGATTGTCGGGAAGTATGCAGTGATAAGATTTGGATGGGAATCAAAGTGAGGAGATCCTACGGGGTGAGTGTCTGGAAAGGAATTATGAGCTTTAACCAAGAATTCAGAAGTTTTGTCAAATTTAGATTGGGGGAAGGCTCGAGGGTGAGGTTTTGGGAAGAAGAGTGGCTGCAAATAGAGAAGTTAAGTGAGGTGTGCCCAAGATTATACAAACTAACAGAACAACAAGTCTCAATAGCTCAATGTTATGAGTGGAGAGGGGAGCAATTGATCTGGAATCCAAAGTTCAAAAGACCTTTACTAGATCAAGAAGTGGAAAATGTATATGTCGACAGGATAAGATTTGCAGCAAATTAAGAAAGATATGATTTGCGGCAAATTTAGAAAGATTTGATTTGATTGATTACAGATTTGAATAAATTTAGGAAATRTTAGATTTGAATAAAATTAGGAAAGTCATATCCTAGGATTAAGGGAAAGATTTAATCAATCCCTAATTGAGAGAGATTCTAGGAGTAATTGAGAGAGATCCTAGGAGTTTGTCTCTCCTATCTTTTCTTATTTAAGTTGTATGYTCAACHTGTTWTATCAACACATTATCAATACAGAAGTATTTCTTCTTCATTTCTTCTTCTCTTCCTCTTTATTTTTCCACAGTATACTGTTGGAAAAGCTAGAAGGAACTAACATTTCAAGAGGCACAGAAGATGGTCTCTAGTGGAAGGAATGTACGGAGGACAGGTTCACAGTTAAGTCATTCTACAAAGCATTAGTCAAAGAAGAGGGGGGCTCAGTCCAGATAAAAGGAGTTTGGGGGAATCCAATACCCCCAAGGGTAGAGGCCTTTGCATGGTTGGTGGCACATAACAGCATCCTCACTACTGATCATCAAAAATCTAGGGAATTTCATATGGCAAGCAGGTGCTATTTATGCAAGGAGGAGGAAGAAACTGTGCTCCACTTGTTCTTCACATGCAGCATAGCAAGCTTCATATGGAAGTTCTTTTCCTTTTTATTTGGTATGTGTAGCTTCCAGCCTTCAGATTCAGCAGAAATATTTGCTCTGTTGCCAAAGTTCAGAGGAAGTAAGAAAGCCAGTATTGTTTGGAGCTGCATCCCTTTTGCAGTATGTTGGTCTATTTGGAGGGAGAGAACCAGAAGAGTATTCGAGAATAGGGCCAACAACATAGAATACCTGGTAGCTTCGGTGTCCAATCTGATATCAGAGTGGGTCCTCAGGCTCCCAGATTTTGATCAAGTCTCCAAAGTTGATTTATTGGAAAATTTCTGGAATTTACTTGAGTTACAGCCTTGTAATGTAGATGCATTCTCAGTTTAATATTCTGGACATGTAATTGAAGTATGTACTTGATGTTGTTGGTGTGTCATCTAGACAACAAATGTGATAGGATGTAACCTTTTCTTTCTTCTTGATTCTTCAAAAAAAAATGTATCCCATAAATAAAATGGCATGGATATGACCCTTAATATTAAGTACAGCGCATGTCATACATGTTCCTATTGCAGGCAGTACCACATTCTTGTTAGAAGCAAAGGAGCATATAAATATCATCACGCTTACATTTGTCACAAAAACAGTTCTTGATTCAATATCTTCCTCAGGATGATTTGATCCACCTGCAAAGAACAAGTTAATAGAACTCCCCAATTTAATGGCCCCATATAGCATCACATGGATGTGAGTAATTTGGTCATTAATAATATTTACTGCAATAGTCATCTGAGACAAAATAAAAGTTGGACACAGAAAACTGGAGATGCTCCAAATGAAGAAGTATAATGGCTTAACCTTAGATGAAGTATCAGCAAATTATAGGCAGCAGTTAGGGATGTCAATAGATCAGGTACAGTAAGGGATTTGTTCAAACCAAACCCAACTTGTGATGCCCAGATACAGATACAGATACAGATACAGACAAGGACACGGATATGGGTAAGCGGGATGTGACTCTCCATTTCCTAAAATCCTGGATACAAGTACAGGTCCTATGTAATATGCTTATATCATGCATTTGTATCTAGTTTAAGCTAAAAAACATTTCTTAAGGATAAGTATCTTTCCAATTTTAATTGAAGTTCTAAATTATAGTATAATTTGCTTTCACATATTCCAAAAGTGTTAATGTTAAAAAAGTACTTATGGAAGTATCCATGCAGTATCTGGTATTGTATCTGATATCCAATACCAGTACCCTGGATATCATAGAACCCAACCCAACCAAACTAAATGAAATAAGATTACCAAAACCAACCTGTCCCATCCTATGAACAGCACTCCTAATTTTATTGAAGGCTATACTTGCAATTTTTCAATGTCAATATGTCAACAGGTCAGGTTTGGTGCAGACCAATCCCAACCAAAAGTTGATTAAAAATGACATGAACATGACCAAATAGGGTCAGATCAAGACTTAATCCAATCCACTGGCATCCCTAGCAGCAGTCTTGTCATTCAGTAATATACCCCAGAATGAATTGTCTTACCAGAACTCATTGATAAATTGAGGTTGCCATCATTTTTCACGTCCACGTGCATTTGTCGAAGCTTAGACATTTCCACCTCAATTTCACGCAATCTTAGTTTCACATCTAATATTTCCTGCAGGTTGAACACTCATTAAGAAGGGGGAGAAAAAGAAAAGAATACTTCATTAATGTGAATATCATTTTTAAGAAATTTTTGCTTCTTACAGCTTGCATGGGATGGGTATTGGCATTCACACTGTTTTCATTATTGGCAGGTACTGATTTAGAAGCCAACAAACAATTAACTGAAGCCAGAGTCTGAGTAATGCCCTCCAAACCCTCCCTAGTCAGCTTTGCTTGAGATATTTTATTGGCCCTTGGATCTAGTGCAGTGTCAGATACAGGTGCATGATATTTTTCCAGGCTGTCTGGCTTCCTAGTTTCAGTAAGAGCATTAGTTAACATTTGTGATTGACAAACAGAAGATGGCCTTTGAAACTCTTTGAATTTTTCTTTGTGTTGAGGATGTCTCTCATTAGTTTCCACGAAAGAAACTGCATTGCTTCCAGAAGCAGGATTAATCTCGCCAAACTGCCTCTTCCGCTGTAAGTTTGTTCCATCATGAAGAGCATATTTTTTAACACCATCATCTGGTATCCCATAGTCACCATGGCTGGTGTTAGAGATCACGTTTGCGTGGTTACCCTCAAGCAGAGGGCCTTTCCTTGTTGCCCTTCCACCAAGTCTTCCACCACGCACAAAAGGCATCACCCTACCTTGGCAATGCCCTTCCTCACTATGCTCTGATGTTTCTCTTTTGACAAAATCAACACCACGTATGTCAATATTCTCTTCCCTCACAATTGTATTGTCTTCACACGGCTTGCCCAATCTGTCCCAAACATTACCCCGTGGTCTGGCACTCCGACGGCATACAGCATCTACAGACCTTGAAGAAAGCCTTGTTTCAGCAGCATCAGTCATAGAAGGCTTTGAATAATGGCTTTCTGCATGAAGAAACAATCATAAAATCTCTAAATGTGCTTCACTTGCAAACAGGTGGTTGAAGTCCTAAATATACATGCTAGATACAGACCCATAGAAATGTGTAAATTTCCAGAAGGACATCTCACTCTGGAAGAACCATACTTCAAAGCTTGATTCTTGGTTGCTCCATATTTTTTTGGAACTTCAATTAAACATGTCTGAGCCTGCTGCGCCTTTGGTTTGATCTCATTTACAGTAGCATCATTTGAACAAGAATGTTGAAGATCTTCAGGGACTTCTAAGTCATGCAAGGAACTGTGCTCACACTTCTTATCTTTGCCCTGCAAAGGTTAATTATATCAAAAACATCCTCCACCAAATTTCACATCACCCACATGCAAAAAAGGCCCAAGGTAAATTACTGGTAGTCTATCAACACCGATAGTAGCATGATTCTGAAGGCCATCTACAGTGCTGATTTCATGCTCCTTATCAGCATTATCATCAGGTATACTCGTAATACTAGCACACTTTAGATCTGATGAACCAACAGGTACACTTGATTGATGGACATGTTTTAAGAGAACGCCCCATAGCCTATACAAATAGCATAGTTCATACCAAATTCAGAAACATTCAATTTGTTAGCTTGCTGAAGAAAAGATAGAATAACCACAACCACTTAGAACATCAAGAACCAAATACCAGGATACAAATTCTCCACTCCTTTCACCAAGAAAAGCTTCCAAATCATCCCTTGCTTGTATCTGATGCTTGCCATTACAAACAAGCACTATGATATATTCCTGCAAATAGGAAGAAATGCCAAAGTATTATAATACCACTAAAGAAAATGAATGACAAGAAACAAACAGCAGGTAATCATATAGCAACCTTCATGAATCCCCCATTTCTAGAAATTTATTGCCAACAAGAATGAAAAGCACCAACGGATGCATTTATTGTAAATATCACATCCTAGAATTTGGCAATGGTGAATGCTACATATGAAAAACATGTCTTTTAAAGTAGAAATTCAAAAACCAATTTGTCAAAGTTCCAAAAACAATGTTTCTAATCTCACCGTATCAAGGGGCCTTTGTAGAAGGAAGACAAATTGTAGATCAAATACTTATTGCCAATGAATGTGTTGAGGTGAAGAGGAGGAGAAAGGAAAAGGGGTTGGTTTGCAAATTGGATCTTGAAAAGGCATATGACATGGTGGACTGGGATTTTTTACTAGAGGTTCCCAAGCGGAGAGGGTTTGGGGAGAGATGGTGCAGTTGGGTAAAGGGATGCATTTCTTCATGTCACTTCTCAATATTGGTAAATGGTGTAGCTAGGGGTTTCTTTCCTGCAAAGAGGGGTATTAGGCAAGGAGATCCATTGTCCCCATTCCTCTTTACCCTAGTAGCTTATGTGTTGAGTGCCATGATTTCGAGGGTTGATGCTAACAATTTGATAAGAGGTTGGAGGATTGGTAGGGAGGAGGTGGTGGCCACACACTTACAATTTGCAGATGACATCATCTTGTTTTGTGA